GTATGCACAATAAGGGGACGAGTAATAGTCGGCTCAGAAGATGAAGGATCTGACACAGGTATATCACTAACATATGTGTCATGAGGAACATTAGTAGGAAAGGGATCAATGTATAATAGGTCAGACTTATTTAATGAAGAAAATTAGATGGAATTGAAAATAAGAGAATATTCTCCATAAAAATAACATGACGAGAAACATAAAGTTTGTGGATGATGGGATCATAGCAACGATACCCTTTTTGACCCTCACCATAACCAAGAAATATACATAACGCTGAATGAGGAGAAAGTTTGGTACGAAGAACACTATGGAGCAAAACAAAGCAGGTACAACCAAACACATGTAAAGAAAAATAGTTAGGCGGCTTACCACATAACTTTTCAAATGGAGAGACTCCAGTTGTGAGAATAGTAGGAATGATGTTGATCAAATGAACTGCTGTCAAAATTGATTTCCCCCAAAATGAGCTATGAACATGTGCTGATAACAAAAGAGAACGTGCTGTCTCTAGAACATGACGATTTTTTCGTTCGGCAACACCATTCTGCTCAGGTGTGTCAGTGCAAGAGGATTGATAAAGTGTACCATCATATTTCAACAAATCATGAAAAGAAGTAAGAGTATATTCATCTCCCTGATCATACTGAAAACATTTAATGACTGCAGAATATTGAGTGCGTACCATGTTACGAAATGCAGTAAAGATGGAAAAGAATTCAGACCGACGTTTCATCAAGAATACTCAACAATACCTCGTGTAATCATCAATAAAGGAAACATAATATTTGGACCCTCCTTGTGTAGGAATAGGAGCTGGTTCCCATATATCAGAGTGAACAAGATCAAATGGTGCAAGAGAACAAGTAACACTTTTATTAAATGACAATGAACTAAATTTAGTCAACTTGCACCACTACAATCAGAAATATCATGGCCTAAACTACCACTCGAAGCTAAAAATTTAAAATGAGAATAAGAAACATGACCAAGACGAGAATTTCATAACTAAAAACTAGATGACTCTGAATTCAAACGAAATGAAGATAAATCAACAGTAGAAGTCGCAACAACATCTGGGACATGAAGCTCCTCCAACACATATAACTCGTCCTTTCTACACAGCTTGTCCTAATCAGCTTCTTGGACTGTGGACCTACACAACACAACCAGAGGAAGAGAAATGAACCAAAAATCCAGAATCAAATAGTTGACTGACTGAAAGTAAATTCAAAGTAAGTTGAGGAATATAATAGAGATCTGAAAGGGTAAGGTTGGAAGAAATAATTGTCCCAACACCAGCTAATGACATGTGTGAACCATTGGCAGCAAGTACAGACAAAGATGGAGGAGAAACTATAGATGTAAATAAAGAAGTCACTGGTCATATGATGTGTGACACCTGAGTCAAAGACCTAGGCGGTTCGAGATATACCTGAAAGACCTGAGCTGAACGAACCTATAGTGGGAGAAACTGTGAGAGCACCAGACTGATGAAGAGAGAAATTGCTGTAGTTGGTCTGCAAGCATAGTCAGGCTAGGAGCTGATGAGGCTAACTCATTCACTGGCGGTGCTACGGCTTTGTATGACGATCTCTAGACTTAAATGACTGATTTTGAGACCCTCGTGCATTCTTGTTCATCAACTTTGGACATTGGGCCTTCTAGTGACTTTTGTCACGACAGAAGTTGCACTCATCAGAAGCAACTGTTTTGAGAATTAGAGGTCACTTTGGAAGGAAAAGCCAACACAATTTGATTTGGCAGTGGAAAAAGACCCTTTCTAGACCCTTTCCAGAACTCAACCTCGATATTAAGGCGAATTTTTTCAGTTAAGAGCTCATTAACAACTGCATCCATTGAGGGGAGTGGGTGACGATGAAGAATGGAACCGCGAAGTCCCTCGAAGTCATTTCTAAGGGCCATCAAGAATTGCACCAGCCTCTGTTTCTCTCTGAAGGTGTGATATGTCAAATTAGTGTTCAACTCAGTGGGTTCAGTAAGTGCTAGCTGATTCCAGAAGCTAGTCATAATAGAGTAGAATTCTTATATGGTTTTGTTCTCTTGATGCGCATCTCGAATCTCATACTCTAGCTGATACCTCTTTGCAAAATTAAACTGAACAAAAAGTGTAGCCAAATAATTCTAAATTTCTTTAGCAGTGGTAAACTTGGATAGATGAACCCTAATGGTCTGATCAACTGAGTTATTAATCTAGGTAATAATTTTTGCATTGTTGATATCCCAAGTACTCTTCAAATTAGCATAATTCTCTGTCTTATTATCAGTTGGAGGCTGTACAACACCACTAATATAATTTCACATGTCTTTCCCCAATAATTTTTTTTCATAACATAAGTCTCAATAAACATAATTTCCACCAATTAGTCTCACACTAATGGCTTGAAGTGAATCAGAGTGTCCACTTGCCATTGTAGTAACAATTATCAAAACTCACCACAGTCAAAGCAAAGCATTCAAAACGCAGCAGCCCAAAGAGAGCAATAACACCAAAGAATCAAAAAACCAGCAGCCAATACCGAATAACAATCAACAGCAAAATCACAGTGCCGAAGCAAGCCAAAAACCAAAATACCGAAGCCACAAGTCCAGAGTGCCGAAGCCACAACAAGAAGATCAAAGCAACCCACAACTCAGCTGCTGATTTGAAGATCAAAGCAACCCACAAGGATTTCGGCTACTGTTCTTGCCGTGATAATGGCCTGACAATCCCAAGCAGCAAATGTACAACCAAAATCAAACCAAAAGCCTTCAAATCACACAACCAGCCAGCCTATACTCTTAGTCGCACCCTTTAGAGTCGATTAGAAGCAAGAAATTTGAGAAAGACAACCCCAAATCACAGATCGAAAAATAGGGTCGAGATTTTTGAAAAAATATTCAAAAATTAGAAAATTCTATCCAATGACCTCAAAATCAAAAACAAAACATACCATTGGAAAGCCCATGAAGAGTCGAGTACAGTAGTGCTCTTCTCGCTCTAGTCTAATGACGCTAGCAATGACATCAACCCTAGTTCAGAACAGGTTGAAGCATCTGCTATGTTCTAAATTTTTTTTTTAAGTATGCTACGATCGAACAATGCTCTAATACCATGATGGAATTGATCAGTGAGAATAGAGAATAGACAATAGAGAGAGAAAATATATTATTCATCAAGCAAGTCTGTAATACACAACTTAACCTAAAAATACACAAAGTAACCCTTATATAGTAGGGCAACACAACATAAAGAAAATTCCTAAACTACCCTTATTATGAATATTCTAACAGTCTCAACTTGATGTGAAAAATGTTTTTCTTCATAGAGACTTGTCTGAAGAGGTTTTTATGACTTTTCCACCTGGATTGTCTCATAATCCTGATCTAGTATACAGACTTCAGAAGGCATTATATGGACTTAAATAGACTCTACGGGCATGGTTTGCCAAGTACTCCTCTGTTATCCGTGACTTGAGTTTCCATACTAGTGATCATGACTCTGCTTTCTTTCAATGGTCCACTTCTTCTGATTTTATTGTTCTCCTACTTTATGTTGATGATATGATCATTATAGTTGATGATACTGTCGACATCAACCTATTGAAAACTCAGTTGCAAGAGCACTTTGAAATAAAATATTTGGGTCAGCTTAGATATTTTTTGGAAAACCAGGTTGCTTCTTCTTCTAAAGGTTATCTTCTTTCTCAATCCAAATATACATCAGATGTTATTTAACGAGTTTGTTCATCAGATAATCGGGCGGTTGAGATACCTTTAGAGCTTAATGTTCGACATTCTTCCTTCGATGGTACTCCTCTACTTGTTCCTACTCTCTACCGCACTATTGTTGGGAGTCTAGTATGTCTTATGGTTACTCGTCCAGATATCTCTTATGTCGTTCATATTGTGAGTCAGTTTATTACCTCATCTATCACTATTTACCGGGTTGCAGTTCTTTGCATTCTTCGATATTTTCATGCTACTCTACATCAGAGTTTACTATTTCTTCATTCCTCTTCTATGAAACTCATGGTTTACTAAAATGCTGAATAGGCTAGTGACTCTATGGATCGCAAGTTCACCACTAGTTTCTCCTTTTTTCTTAGAGATTCTCTTATTTTTTGAAAAAAGTAAGAAACATATTGTTGTTACTCGTTTTTCTGTTGAAGCTGAGTATCGTGCTATGACATCTACCCTAGTTGAGGTAGTTTGGTTACGATGACTACTTATTGATCTTGGCATTTCCCTATCTTCTATTGTGCCTATGTGCTACGACAACATCAGTGCTATTCAGATTACTCACAACTCAGTCTTCCGCACAAAGCACATTGTGAATGATTGGCACTTTGTGCATCACCATCTTTAGCTGGCCACAATCACTCTTCCCTTTCTTCCCTTTCACTATGCAAATAGCAGATTTTTTTAAAAAATCTCACACTATAGTGCGCTTTTGATTTCTTCTTGATAAATTCTTGATGTTTTTCACCACATCATGAGTTTGAGGGGGGGTGGTAGAGTATTAATATTAGGATAGTTTAGGCATTTACTTTATTCTATGTTATCCTATTATATAAGGCCTACATTGTATATTTTGGATTAAGTTATTGCATAGACTAATTAAGATTCTCTTTTCTTTTCTTTTCTCTTTTTCATACATTTCTTTGATCTATGATAAACAACAATAAAGTAGTTTTTAGTGCAAAACCCACTCCTCAACGCGTACTGATCGCGACTCACATCAATGAAGAAGGAAAGAATATTAGAAGAAGGAAAAGAGGGACTCACTTATAGTGGCTTGAATTTTCTGGGTTGCCTTCAATTTTTTCTGCTTCTCTGTGGGTTTTGATTGATTTCTACGATTGTTGTTCCAACTCGGTTATGAGTGGTTTGAGCTAGATCTGAGTTTCACCGTTCGACCGAGTTGTCTCCAATTGAGGTCCGATTTGAGTGCAACTCGTCGATTTCATGTGATATGTATCGTTCGTTATCAGTTTGGCATGGGTCAAGTCGTATTGGACTCGACCAATCCTTTGAACCCCGGGGCTCACAAGGTTTATATAATAGTGTGGGAGGTGTTATTTTTTTCGACATGGGATAAGCTCTACACTACTCGCACGTGCAATCTCCACGCTCACGAAGACAGAGAAAGAGATGGATTGGAATAAAAATTCAAAGGACAAAAAGGGATTAATTACCCAATTGATGAAACTGAGTATTGCCCAAACCCTCCACTCCAAAGACCAACTCCAATACTTAAAGTATCCAACTAAAAACCATTTGGTAATGAGTGGACAGATCCACAAGATTCATATTTTAGTTTGGGAAGTGTTATTTTATTGACATTGGACCAGTTCTAAAAGTTTTCAAAAGGACATAATGCAGATTCTTATATAACTAGAAGGCGAATAATGTATCACACTCAATAGTATTGCGAAATTCAATATCTCGATGACATCCAAGATATGGGTGTCCTGTGTATTTCAGCACTTCCATTATAATTTTGGTCTCCTTGCATCCTATCTCATTAGTCTGAATTTTTTATGGAATGCAAGCTTGGGTTCTTTAATGTCTATTATGCAGGGCCGGTTCTACTTTGGAGAGCTATTGGAGGATCCTGCTGGTTGTGATGCAAATATTTCAGCGGTAACTTGCGAACATCATCTATTGTTCTATATCCCTCTCTGTATATATTGTGCAAGAATAACTTGCCATATGATATTACAGATGCATGCAGGTATAGCGGAAGTTGCTGCAGCTAAGGCGCGGATGTTTATTAACAAACCTGACGGAAGTATGTCATTTCTTCTTTGTGATTACTCTGATGGAAGTATTTCTTCTTATCATTTTCTCGTTTTCCTCTTCTTTTTTTTGTTGGTAATATGTTTTTCTGAAGCATTATAGCATGTAAGAATTGGAAAATATCAATTCTGGTCAATTTGGCATGTGACATGGAATGAGGACGATTCAAAACCTGGGTATTGTATGTTGTTTTGGTATTTACGTTCATTGACCTAATTATTCAGTCAACGGACCCACCAACCCCAACTAGACAACCCACCAGCTCCTATCAGCCCTCCACGACTTTATAACGCAATTGCATTGATGACTCTCACCTAATCCATGCATCGCAACACCTCCACATTACAAGCCACACAGCACCGTTCAAGCAGTTGCTGGTTCTTTGTGATTTTTTTGGTCCTTGTTGCTGCATGCAGGGCAACTCATGCCCAAAACTCCTCCAACATGGGCCCTAATTGTGACGTTGCGGTCTATTTCTCGGCAGCAACACCACTTGTCGACTCCAGATCAGTCAACACTAATTTTGCACTCATCGCAAAAACAGATACACCCTCCAAAAAACACGTGCAAAAGATATAATGCGAGTGCGTTTGTGTGTGGTCACAGAATTCAACGAAACCCTAAACTGACAACTCCAAATGATAGAGAGAACAAAGATTTTAGGCAGAGGTGTAGAGAGAGAGAGAGAGAGAAGGGGAATAATTTGGATTGGTAGTTTTATTGGTAGGATTTGGGGTTCTGTTGAGTCCACCCAGCACCCTCTGGCTCACTTCTTTTTGGTCTCTCTCTCTCTCTCTCTGCCACACACCGTGGCCCCAGGATGTCGTTGTTGCTATCCTGGGATTTCAGTTTTTTTCACCTTGTTTTAGGACTTTTGACGAAACAAACTCCAAAACAAATATTGTTGGTCTTGAAATTTAAATGGCAGGTTGTGTGGTTGAGTTGTGGTGAGTTGGGTGGTGATGGGCTGATAAATGATTGTGATGGCAGTGGTTGTGGTTATGGTGATAGAGTAGTGGTGGGTTGGGTGGTTGTGTCTCACTGTTCGTCGATATTGATACGATTTGGCTGCTTGATACTGATACGATTTGGTCGAGTCATATCCAAAACGATGCACTTTGTTTTGAGAACTATATATGTTCTTTATAAATAACGCGTCTCACTTGACTCGTGGTTGACTCGGAGACGTTCTCGATGACTCGACCGAGTCATCCGAATTGAATGGCAGGGTATCACTCATCGTCGTTCTACGATATCACGAAATCACCTGAATCTTTTGCTATTTCAACTTCTTTTATTTAGCATTTAGGGGGCATCTTCATATACCTTTCCGCAAAGCCATGACCTTTGCGTCTTAATGCTGTCGGAGTCGCTAAATGATACCACGATCTTGAACCGGGTCATGATTTGATGTTGCCGTAGGTGGATTGGTGGTGGGTTGAGTTGTTGTGCCTTGGGTATGAAGTTTTTAGTGGTGATGAGTTTCAAGCGAGATTGAGAGACAGATATTTGGTTGAATGTACTGGATTGGGTGCACTCGGTTTGCTGAAGATTTCGAGTCAACTCAGCAGAGTATGAACAAATTACAAAATTAATTGTTTCAGTTTTAATCAAGGCAAACTGTGTATTTAGTGAAAAGTGAAAGCTGATGTGAAGGGATACATACATTGACCAACATACAAAGGGGTACCATGAGGCTATCAGTGTAGTTCTTCCCTTCCTTTTAATTGCACAAGGATGTAAGAACTATGTCAAAACATGCAAGCAGGTATGCAGAACTACAAGTAGTAGTTTGTGTCAGTATTTGAACTATTCATTGTGTTAATGATAAATTTTAAATGAGATTATTCCTTTGCCCACACTGGCATAAATCAAGAACTTCATGAATTTTTATCTCTAACCCTTTGGTACACCGTGCAGAACAGTGTTTAATGCCCTCGAATACTCAATTCTTTGGCTGGCTGTTAGCTACCTAAAACAACCTTCCTCCTTAAAAACCCAGCTGATCAATTCAATGAGCTTGGGATCATCCAACTTTGTGCCAGTCATGTTCTGAAGTTAGTGAAGATGAATCTGTTTGTGTTTCAGAGCAGGCTGGGTGTACCCATCCGTCCATTCATTTCAAAATGTGCATGAATAGAGTTCATTATCTGCATATCGATGTGAAGTTAACAAGTTCAATGTTGTCATTTACCTTTATGTGTCCTTATCTTATGTTCCATCAGAATGGCTTGCCCTTATTGTTAGAAATCTAATTCACACACTGTACATATGTTTGGGATATTTTTCTTTTCCTTTATTTTTTTTTAACTTTGTGTTTTGATTTTTACCAATGACTTGTGTACTTCATCTGGTGTCTTGGTGGCCTCTCTTTGTATCACAAATTCTAGGTTTCTTTTGTTTGCACAGTGGTCAGAGAAGAAAGGGGTCCATATAGTGATCCTCAACATCCCTATTTTTACGAGGAAGAAGATGTGTGGATGGCACCAGGCTTCATCAACCAGTTTTATGAGGTAAGTTGAATTCAATGTCTGTTCAGCTATTAATAATCTACTTATCGGCATTCTCCAGGAAATGAGAAGCAACATGTTTGTATGGCAGGTTCCTGAATATTGGAAAATGTATGTGCATGAAGTGGATCAAGAAAGGGAGATGTGGTTGAACTCATTCTATAAAGCTCCTTTAAGGTTGCCTATGCCTGCTGAGCTTGAATACTGGTGGTCGAAAGGTATTACTCATCTCTTTTTAATTATTTAAAGGAGTCTACTCTAGGCATGTGGGAGATAAGGTTCAGAGGGAGCCTAGATATGGAATCTCTTTTGGCAGTTGCCTATTTATTTCTGGAGAACTGTACTTTCAATTAGAGGTGGCTAGTTTTGCACAACACATTAACACGTCTCGAACCCGACATGAACTTAGCAGATTTGGGTGGGGATTTTGACAGGATTTGTTAGCTGTCATGTTTGGGTTTGAAACATTTATCAAATGCGTCTCTGCTGGTTTTTATCCTGTTTGGCACATTGATGACAAAATATGACCTGTTGTGCGCAAATTACCTGTGGAACTTGTCTAAACTTCGTTTTTAAATTATATATTGGATTTTGTATTTTTTTTGATATGAATATGATCCATGTGACCAGTTTAACCCAAGGAACCTGCTTAACCCCCCATGGACAATATATTAAATAGGTTACGCGGGTTATGCCATGTTTCCCACCGAATGAACAGGATGTGTTGCGGTTAAAATATTGAAACAATTAGTTAATCGTGTCCAGTTTGGTTTGACCTAATTTTTACACAAATAACTCTGGCACGATACAAAACTAACATGGCAAACCTTATTACTACCCACAATTTTAGTCTATCTTTATCTACAGAAAGATAAACTTTGCTTGCGTATGATGTAATATTAAACCTAACTTATTGGCTGCCCCTGCCTTTGTTGAAATCCATCATTTGGCTCAATCTTTTGAAGCAAGAAAATTTGCAACCCTTCAATCGTGTGTGGCGGTCCTCTTGGATGGAGCTTCATCTGTTTGATGAGATTACTGTATCAAGGATCCCAACCCAGCATGCTATGCTACAAAGATTGTCAACAAAATTTCACATATCTTGTTGCGCCGATAATAGAAAAAGAAAAGGAGAAAAATGGTCTCGAATCTCACTATTGTTTTCAAAGAGTGGAATATTTGTTATGGGGTGCTTAATCATTTTGTTGCCCTTCTTCACCTTGGCAGAAAAATATAGAACACCTTATTAGTGTAAAATATAAAAGCTGGAAAGGGAAGTGTTTTGCTTTAGTGTTTATATCTTCTATTACATTGGAAGAAGTCTGCAGTCTGCACTTGTCTTCCCCTTCTATATGTATGTTTCAAAGACACTCCAGGCCACCATGTCAGTGCTTAATTTAGTTGTTTAATTTGTATGGAAGATGATTGAGGAAACTATGAATTTTGAGTTCATAATAGCGGAGGTTGTGAAACTTGGAGATGCTTATTCAACAAAAAGTGGAAAAGAGAGATATGAAACTTGGAGATTCGTTTGAATTAACATTTTACTTGTTCTGCAGGTCATGTTTTCTTCATGTCTCTTTTGGGCTTAAATTACTCTTGCTCTTTTAGCTCTTCTATGATGGGTTTGCTGCTACTTCTGTCCGGTTTATTTGACAAATGTTTCTATTTTTCATAACATCCATTATGTTTGTTAGAGCAGATCAGAGTCCAGAATTCGTTCTCATTAACAAGGAACCAGAGCCTGATCCTGAAGATCCGTCGAAGCTCATATATACTGAAGATCCAGTCATCCTACACACGCCAACTGGACGAATAATCAATTATGTCGACGATGAAGAATATGGCGTGCGCTTATTTTGGCAACCACCTCTGAATGATGGGGACGATGTGGACCCAGAAAAGGTTCAGTTCCTACCCCTGGGATTTGATGAATTCTATGGAAGAGATGTGAGCATGAAGAAGGAAAACATATTGATGCGCCTTGTAACTGCAGTGGAAAATGCATGCAAGCCAATGTTTGACAAACTCGAGAAATGGACCGAGGAGAAGAAGAAAGCTGGTGAGATGAAGATGGAGCTATTGGAAAAGGAGATTGAATTAGTGGAAGCTGAACTGTGTCTGAAAGAGGCCATCGAAGATATGGATGAGGAGCTGAAGAGAATGCAGAAAGAGGAGGAGAAGAAAGTGGAAAAGGGCTTGCAGGATGAAGAAGATATTATATTTCCTGAACCAGATAACCAGTTTGAAAAAACTGAAGCTGATGAGGAGGAAGATGAGGAGGAGGAAGAGGAGGATAATGTTAGTTTTGGGTCTGTTATTCAAGATCAAGGCTCAAGAACAGATGACCAGAAGGGAAATGGAGCTGGAAAGTCTTCATTTGCTGCATCTTCCTTATCATTTGCTAATTGTAGCCTCTTTTCAACGGTGAGTAATGATTCCCCATGGATTTAGTTTCACTATAATCTATATAATTATATTTAGAGAAAGGACTTAAAAATTGGGTGAAGTCTGAGACATAGCAAGAGTAGTTACCTGACTCAATTTTTTGCCACGACGGCTTTCTTCTTTTTGAGAGCTCATTCTTTTCATGGCTCATGTTTTGCACTTGGATCTTCCAAAGTCTGACACAAGAAATTCAAGGCTTGGATAACTGCCGGAACGATTTTATAGAACCCAATGAGAAATTTGTGGTTTATTCAAAATAACACGGAATATAAGAAAATTATTTCTGTCAGTTTTAGAATAATTCAAGCTAATATAGCAACATAATTCAAGAATTTTCTCAATTTCTTTTCGGATGTTTCTATTCTTTTATGCAAAGAATTTTAGTCTCTACTGATACTATTGTCACCTGGTCAATCGTTCAAATATAGGTTCCATGCCAGCTACAGCATTCATTTTCAATGTGGAAGAAGGGAAAATTGCAACCTCAGACTTCTCCACCTCGCCTTTGTCTGATGCCCATGGAGGTACCTGCTTCATCATGCGCAGTTAGTTTTCCCTGCAGAGTTAGCCAAAGTTGGACATTGAGAGCAGTGAGGCAGACACATCACCAGGGTAAGCACATCACCGGATTGCATCAGAGAAAACATTCAAAGCAGAAAGCTTGTGCAAAACCCCAAATTTACCTATCAGAACAGAAGCTAAACATTTTATCTTGGCATTCCCCAGTATAGGTATCATGTGCTTTGTAGTCTCTTCTTTCTACTCTCTTTTTACGAGCTCCTTCAATTTTGCAGGGCCTGTGGCACAATTGTTTGATTAAGCTAGGCATTTATGTTCCACATACATTTTTTTGTCCAAGTTATTGCATCTAAATTTCCTTGTTCTGGTAAATTGGTTTGTGTTTCAATCAGCAAAAAATAAAAATAAAAAATGATTGGGATGCGTTTCTCATGATTTTCTTTACCCAACTGGGCAGTGATCCTAGGGGTGCAATTCGGGTAGATTAAACCCAAGTTATAAAACTTTCAACTATAACCTAACCTGAGCCTGACTTTTAACATGAGTATTGCTCAAGTTAATTTTGGGCTCAATTTGGGTTGGTGTAGAATAACTAATTTGGGTTCAAATTGGGCTCAGAATTTGGGTTAAATTTCATGCATGACACAATAGTTTGATCCGTTTAAATTCAAATTAAATTCAATAAAAATTTAAAATACACTTATTTATGTATATATAAATTTTGGTTGGAACCCAAATTGTGAATATGGGTAGAGTCCGAATTTAGTAATTTGTGTAGGGAACTAGAGTATGACCAGAATTTAATTCATGTTGAGGTTTTTTAGTTTAAGCTTAACCCAAATTTTAAAAATTTCAATCCAAGTCATTTTTTTTTCAAGTTGGGTTCGGAATAACCTGTCCAAGTTGCACCCTTAAGTGGGCTCGACAGAAAATGCTGATATGGACTGCTGACCAGAATGTATTCGACAATCCATATGTTAGGGTTAAATTTATTACATTTGTTGTGTAGTTTGGTGCCATAGTACTTGACCCATATAAATATGATTCAAATATAGTCACTGTCCTTATGGGATTTTGACTAATTTGAAAATTCGAATCGAATAATTTTGTATTAGAAAAATGACATTGATACTCCTATATATGTTTAACCCAAGTCATTACACAATTTAATTGACAATAAAAAGTGTCGCAACTACTATTATCGACGGATTTTTGGTCTAATGATACTATTTTTTTTGTGAAGATTTTATTTTTTTTAGATTAAGGGTTCAAATAATCGTCATAGTTCGGGTTGATCCGACCCATCATGTGATGGTCCACGGGCAGCTCAACAGGTGTATGACCCGGGCCTATTTGCCCGACAAAACTGAAATAGGTTAAAAACAAGGACCAATTTGCAAAAACTGGGCCTACAAGAGTTGGACTGGTGGACAAGAATCCACCAAACCACCAATTTGTAGACGGCTAGTCCCACCAAACCGTCTGACCGGTCAGCAACTCGAAATGGGGCCCATGAAAGGCCGTTTACTAAAGGACCAGGTAAACCTCGTCCGTTGCCGGAGAAAATATTGGCTGCTTTCCATGTATCATGATTGTCAAAAGTGTCGTACATAATTAATAAAAAAATTATATATATTTTTTTGAGTAATACTGTTTGAACATAAAAATTTGACATAATTTACTGACATAATAATGTGATTTCAATAGAACTATCTATAAGGTGTCTAAATTTACACCGACAATTCTATCAAATTCAGTGACTTATCATTATAATATGAATTGAGTTATAACATATTTCTTTAGGGACAAGGACGGATAGCTCTCGGGCGGCATGAAAAGATATTGAAATTAAAATTTATGTGTAGTCAAATACAAAACTCAACCATCCATAAGAATTGTTAAACAAAATAACATTACATGTGTTAGGATTTATCTATTGTTGAGACTTATCTAATTATACGTTATTTAGCACTTGGATATACAATCAATATATAAAAAGTGTCACAATGTATTCCTTTAGTGAGATTCTGTTATTTTTTCCGATAGTATTAACTGGATATTTTTTCACAGAAAAAATAAATGAAGATAACAAAAAGACTACATTGCAACAATTTTGATATATTAATGGTACAGTGTGAGAAATTTTATATTTGAGAGTGCAAAATGAGAATTCTTAAATTTTTCAGGGTACAAAGTATAATCCACCCTTGGAATAACCCCTTTGCTATCTAAATATAAATAGATTTGTAGATCAAATCTGCAGTTTTGTTCTCAAAAAATACATAAATAAATAAAACAGAGGAGGCAGTCTGCTCACATATGGTACAAGCGTTGGCATAATACAAAGTATTTGTTTTAGTAAAATGAATATGTGGTGAGCTTTATAAAACAGTTTTAAATCTCCTAAATATTTCTGACAATCGTGTTTTTCTTTTTTTACACAACCGAGTGTCGTCTAAATCACGTGTCTCTTAAACTCAAGAAAAAAAATCCAAACTCTGGATATTTATAATTATTCACAAACTACATCTATTAGATAAATTGAGGTTTAATCACGTGAGTCAAACCCGAAAACTCAAATTAGTAACTTCTGGAATCCTATCATTCCATGATAGATTTTGAAAACCATGTTCCGCCCATATTTGCATATAATAACTTTCTTCCTATTTTCTTTTTTCTTTTTCTTTTTTTCCATTTTTCTCTACTTAATTACTTATTTATTTTGTTATTTTATCTAGGGAAAAAAAACACATTTACTAGTCCATAGAATTATTGGGCTATTTGTTGTCAGAACCACTGTCCTACATTAAATAGCAGACAAAATTGGCTTGGGATGTATCAAAAAGGCTTATACGCAGCATTTAAACTAGAGTTCAAACCAATTTAAAGGATATCATATTCATGTCCACCAAGTTGGCACATTGTGCACCTACAAGTCCCTACTTTTTTGGCACAAATGCATAATACAATGCATCTAACCAAAAAACAAGATAAGGATGACTCTATAAAATTATTGTAAATGATGGGGGTTCAAAAATAAATGTTTTTAATGTGTTGTATTTCACTCTGACTTATATTCGAGCTGATATAAAAATTTTTTTAGACGTTTGTTAGGAATTAGAGATAACTCGTGTCTGAAAGTACAATGCGATGAAAGTGAGAAGTGATGGATTTAGAAAGGATAAAAATTCAATGTGAATGATTTTAAGAAGGATGTTGAAGGTCATTAGATGAGTATATTTAAGACCGTCGAATAAACTTATTAAAATTTATCATATTTTATATTATAAATTTTTTACAACTATTATCCCTCCTTTAAAGCCTATTGTTTTAGCTCGAAGCCAATGGACAAGGCTCTTTAAGCATCCTTGGGTAGCTTCCCCTAGATTAAATTTTGAATAGTCCATTACAAAAAATCTAACCTAAAAAAACACAACCAAATAATATTATATATGAAGTAAGATAGGTCTGACAAAATCAATCGTACCGAAAATAAAAAAGCTAGTAAGTAAAATTCAAAAAAGGATAAGTAAATCTAAAAAGTTTGTGAACCCCTAAAAATTATAAAATTAAACCAAATGAGTGGTATAAAGATTTTATAAATGATTGTTTTTTGGATTTATCCCAAAATTTGGTCATATTTGATGACCAGGTCAAAGTGAAGCCAAAAATTGGGCTATGTGACACCTCACAGATGTTAATGGGTGTGATACATACCTATTTCTCTCAACTGGATGGGTAGAGAAGGTATACATAATATATAAATTATTGAATATTTTCAATGAATTACTGTCATTTAGCGTCACGGGTTTAAACCTCATTATTCCTCTTTTTCGGATGATCAAAAAGAAAAAAAAATGAAAAATAAGTTTTCTTTACATGGACTGGATCATGTCAACCACTCGAGCTATAATAAGTTGCACAATGAATGGATACTTAAATAACGTTAAAAGATACAAAATATTGAGCCAGTTTGTTCAAACTGACCGCAGCCAGCCAATAGTTCTAAAAAAAATAGTGAATTATACGTTATGATACCCTCTTGGAGCCTCCGCAATGCCGTCACAATGCTTCCCCGATAATAATTAGAATTTCAAAAAATCTTTATGACGGTAACGATTGCTCTTCAATAATATTTGCGGCAACAAATAAATTTTTTAAAAACTTTTTTTTTTCTTCAAAACATGCTTTATTGTGACGATGATCAGAATGGCCCCAAAAAAACTTGTCTCAAAAGACTATAATTCTTGTAGTGTTGGTTAGTTCCTCGTAATAGCTAGTCCTACTGTCCCACGTTCATTGGATAACCACTAGGATAAATTTTTAGAGACGATCTTAAGAAAATACTTGAAGTTGAGATCTCCGGTTTTGGTGTGTATTCTCCGGGTGAACTTGTATACCTCTCTTCAACTATTATTTCATATACATGTAATAGTGGCATTATGCTAATACGTTATAAGTAATGATGTTATTCGGGCATAAAAAAATAACCTAATTAAATGACATAGACTCAAAATAACAGCAGACCCTCATGACTAACTTAATTTCTAAACTTGTTCCATTACAATAAGATAGTGTGACACTTGTCTCAAACTCAAAAGATTACCATCTTAAAATTATCAACTATAAGCAGGTTATTTCGTATAATATTCACTTTAATGATTAATAACTCGATTCTCTAAGTTTGAAACTTCCTAGAGACACCGTACTCTATCCGATGTATGAGATTCTGTGCATCTACTATTTGTCCACAAATGCGCGGTTTCGATGGTTTTTTTTCCCTCGAAAAACTATGATCAAAGAATGATAAAAAAAACAATCATCTTGGTAGATTTATTATACATTTGTAACTGGTTTTTTTCTCTCCTAACAAGGCTGTCTTAAAACTTGCTGGGACGATGTTTTGCTTCCAAAGCATTAAAACGTGTTCAAACACGACACACAATTTGTCAAAATTTGTACCCAATTTATGTATTATTCCTGGCAAGACACGGCACCAGTGCCAACCAAAATTAAGAAAGAAGTTTTGGCTACTTCAGACAAAGGGGTTTCATCAACAATAATGTTGAATAATCAAACAATAGACTCATTATCATTTGTTGCGTATTTGTGTGTGTGTCTTTATGTGTGTGAGAGCCAGAGAGATGGGTGTGTGGATTATTTTAATTTAAGGCAATATTACATGCAAATCCATCCGTATCAACCACATGAT